CCTTTATAAAGCCAGGCGGGGTGAAAGAGAGAGAAGGTCTAACCGTTACTGACAGGGCACTTTGTGGAATAAGGGGAGGCCCACATGCTGCCTGCTGACTGAAACGGCACCCCATGCGCAGCTTCAGAACGGAGCCAGCATGCAGACAGCGTCCCCAGCTACGCAACAGATCGATCTAAGTCGCATTCCTTTTACGTCCTGCGCATTCCACACGGGACCAACAGGCTGCTAAGGCGGCAGGTTGCCATGCTAACTGACGACACTCAGCCTCCCACCCCCCCAACCACCACCACAACCCAGCCTCCCCCCGACTGACATGTGACATACGCACAGACAGAGAGGAACATGCTCCAGCATCCGTCAGACTGGACCAAATGCAGAGCGACTCAAACCAAACAGAGTGAAGCAAAGCACATTGGGAGTGTGAGAGTGGAAGAGGTCAACCTGCTGCTTTTAAATCTATTCAGGTACACTTTACAGTTACGGTAATTCTCTGTTCGCCCTTCATCCACACATCGTTACTGCAGACTACTCAGTGTATTAAATATGGGTTATACCATGGCGGCAGATATATAATTGGTAACCAGCTGAAGAAAAGCAAAGGATTTATTGTTGTGGCTCTGTAATCCAGCATAACTATAGTTATAACAATGCTTACTTTTGCTCATGTTAGAGGGTATACTTTTTTAAACAGTTTTGCTCCTATTAATGCTATTAATTTGGAATCAACAGCTTAAAATCCCCCAAAGCAACAAATAAAGATGATCTAGACCCCTGCCTTATTCATGCTACGGAAGTGTGAATATTTAAATATTATATTTAATATACTGACACTGGTAATTATCCAACTCTGGAAACATGATTCTGGACTGGTCAGCGTTTAAGTTGGTCTCTTTTTGCTTGCGTTCCTATTATTCCCATTTATTAGGGTCCGTGTTTTTTCCCATTAATCAAAATCCTAGTTTTCAATGTAGCAATTTAGCATGTAGTCATTTAGTTATTGTGGTACTAAAATAACTACAGATTGGTCTTGTTCTAATTTAGAAACCTTCGATTTTTAGCTCAAACGTGTGAAACAAATTACAGGAAAAGAACCGAATCCTGTTCGATCCTCTTTTATGCCGTGCGTCATCATTTGTTCTGAGGGAGCACCTTTATCTTTATGGTTCAAAAGCTGGCCTCAAACAAGATGACCACAAAGCACTTTTATAAGTATGAAAATGTTGTGAATCCATAGACTGTGTATTTAAAATGAAATGAGAAACTAAAGGACGCTCCACATTCAAAAGAGATTTTCCAATCATGAGGCAGGCCTGTCTGAAAGCATACCCTGGTTTTATTGCCCTTTCAGGCTCTAATGGGGGCCATAATTTACATGTGCTGAGTTAAATAAGACTTGGAACCATCGATTACGACAGTAAACTCATTAGAAAAGCATTTTCTGAAGTCACCAGAGAGCACTTGGGTCATTTCCTACAGACTTCTACAATCAGATTTCTTTCTGGAGCCAGAGGAGTTGCCCCCTGCTAATACTGAGATGACACATCCTTGCTGGCTTTGCTTTTAAGAGCCACTAGCATAATGTCCACATTATAGCGAGTCTGTGTGTGAAACATATGTTATCATCCTTACAGTCACCAGAACTCAACCCAATCGAACACCGCTGTAAGACTTTAGACTGGTGTGTTATGGCCGTGAAGGAAAATATCTTTGGAATAATTTTGTTCCACCCTGCCAGCAGAGTGTTACAGTCTTTCAGTATCACCCGCCTTTATATTCTGATTTTTATTTCCTCCCTCTCTATTTATTCTTTCCACACAGTGCTCTTGGCGTGCACATTTTGCATAACTACACTAAAGCGAGAAGTTAAACCACTGGAAGTCGCTAAAAAAAACAATATTTTCGGTGAATGTTAAGTTGCTCTTTAAATAAAATTGAGAGCACTCCAGTGTGCAGGAGTACAGAACCACAAGATATATTACCAGAGCAAAAACGCTGAGGGGTAAAAGAGCTCAAACTGACTACAATCAGCTCAAACTTGACTTCTTTGGGGAAGTGGCCATGGCATAAAGTTAATACACTCTGAGGTGCACTGACATGTGAAAGTAACAGACATGGAGGAGGAAAAGAGCCCCGCTTCCTCCAACATGTTTACTTTCTACATCAGACCACCTCCGACACTCGTCGTCTTTTATACATTTATAGAATACAATCTATCCTTCCATCCACAGACATAATGCACTCCGCTCCACTCTTTAAGCCATACTCTGATGCCCTGCAGTACTCTAGCCATTTGGGACGTCACCTCACAGGAACACAATGCAGAAAGACCAGATAGAGATCGAAAAAGAGAGGGAGAGAGTAGAGTGAGAGACTTGCTGCTGACCTACTGCTGACTCTGGCAGGGGACACACTCACATAAAAAACACACGCACACTCACACTCATGCAGTAAAGTTGCAGTACTGTGATCAACCAGCTAACCTGACAGCCTGGTCCCCTCTGAATACGGGTGCTCTGAAATGTCCTGCAACTCTAAGCAACGGCAGTCACTGTTAACTTCAACGTCCTAATGTATTCATTTGTACTCAAGTTATACGTCAAATAAAACAGATTATATAGCTAAAGAGATAAGATAACATCTACAGTTAAGCATTCTTTTTGGTGGGCAAATGCTATTCTTCATTGGATGCTGGCGAAAGGACAAATTCCTTTCTCCACAAGGTGGACGTAATCACTCACATGTTGCAAATGAGTTATAAACAGCACACAAATTACCTTGCAAATATCCTAGATTTACTCGATTCATGACATCGCTCGCAGTGAGATTAGAAACATCCTCTACAAGCCAAAAGGGGAAGGAAGACAGAAGAGGCAGAGAAAGGAGGTTAAAAAAAAAAAACAAGAACAAGAAACAAAAAAAATATCAGGCAGGCAGCAAAAGCATCTGCAGATTCAAAAAAAAAGAAAACAACAATCAAAAAAACTCTTAAAAGTGTGAGAGCAATGCAAAGAGGCCATGCATCAGTGTGTGCACAGAATCACTTCCAAATTATTAATCTGTCACATCCTGCTGCAGAAATCCTCACTGACATTCATGGTTCTTTAGAAGATCTTGAACTTCAGGAGTTCTTCCTGAAACGTATTTAATTGACACATTACAACACATCTGGAGCATGATTCTGCTTTTTTGTTTTGAGCCGTGAAGCTGGGAGGAGGCAAAAACGAAAGAAAAAGTGAACTGAAAAGAATGCAGGCAATTTCACTCTGTAATTGCAGTCTTGAATGCAACTGAGACGAGGTTCGTGCTCCTGCATCCTCATGCGTGATGTGTTCACATTCACATGATGGTATGATCATGACTGCGAGGTGGTGTGCGTCTGAGTTATGACACACGGAAGAGGAGTTTGATGGGTGTGAAAGTGATGTGAGAAAATGAGGTTTTCTGAAGGTCAGTGACGATGCAGTGCGATGTCGATGATCTGTACTAACAAGCCTCACATTACTATGTGTTCATGGGAAATGAGATGAGGTAAAAGAAAACAAAAATGACTGGAATACAGATCGGAGGGTTAAATAACTTTCTCAAACACAGCTGCTTGCACTGCAGAAATAATTTAACCAGCTGAGAGAAGCATCAATTAGTGAAGCAAAAGAATCTCATGAACTTGATCCTGAAACCTGAACTTATCAGACTCTAGAGTGTCCTCGCTTCTAAAATTTAAGCTCATGAATATACTTCACCACCAGGCTCAGAAAGTACTTTTGCAGCTGATGCTACGGCCCATCGATTCAGTACGTGCAATCTTATTAAAGCTAACAGGGCCAGTTTATTATATCTCGATTTAAACTGATAACACAGTGACAATGAAATTTGTGGTGGTGCATAGATATGTGACTTTGAGACTATGAGATGGTCAATATCATTATTATTACGCATCAGAGCAAAGCCCAGTAAAACCAACAGGTGGTAACAGAGTAGGCAACTAAGGAAAGGCAGCAAGTGTTCTCAAACAAATGCAAGAACTCATTCTGCAGCTGTATGTAGTAATGGTACCCGTGTTTAATCAAGGAACTCATGGGAGTTCCTCACATAAGGCAGTGATAACAAAGGCACTTTATGTGTAACTGCCTGTGGCATGAAATCAGTCACATGCTATTCTTGATCTGAGCAGATTACAGTGTTCAGGAACAATACAAAAATAAAATCTTTGGCCTGTCCCAGCTTCTAAAATTCTCTGTAGTATAATCTTTGGTTTTTGGATCATTAAAAAACAAGCAGCCTAAAGAGATCCATCTGGGGTGACATTTTCACCATTTTCACTACTAGAAAAAGCGTCGTAAGTAGCTCAAATAAGTCAAAAGATATAGACGCCAAAACAAACATCCATTAAAGAGGACATAAATGAATAGGCTGGTTCTCAGGGGGCTATAAATATTTTGAATAATAAGAGCACAGGCCTGATTAGTCTCTTGTGCCAAATAGCCAGAGTGCTTTTGTGGCAACATCATAAATCAGTTATCCACAGGGTTCAGGTCCCCCAGTTCTTAGCAACAAGGACTATGAGCAGCCACTTAATGACATCAAGAACCACCACACCTGAACAGCTAGCAGCAACTGGGAGACGAGATGGACAGGGTTAGCTGGCTAGTAGCATCCTTTTAGAATAAGATGCTTACATACCGCACCCTTCAAAAAACCCTCTCTCAGAAATTGGGCTTTCAGTTTATATGACTTTAATCAGATCTTTATAGCTGGATTCACACTACTATGCTGTGTGGACTTGAATGTCTGTGACTTCTGAACTAAAGGTTTCCTTCTTTGACTTTTCTTGGGCTTCACTCACTGAGATTTAACTCAACCAGTTACAGGATTTCTGCATCCAAAGCTTCTGTGACCTCAAAGTCATGTTTACAGAACTGAGACTCCAATCTGCAACAAACATTATAATTAGCATTATTATTCATTTTCTGGGACATTATGACTAATATTTACAAATTAAATACAAAGAAATACAATCATTAATTAAAATAACTGATAAGAGCAGCTGAACTGTATCTAGTCCTATACAATAAGCTATACTGAGTAATATCTTTCAACCTAAAGCATCAATATATCCTCATATATCATAACATCAGCTGTTCCACTCACCGTATCCCACAGTGGGGAGGCCCAGGTGCTTCATGCGATTCTTGACCAGCTCGGACAGCTCCTGTCGCTCGGAGCGCCGATACAGATTCAGTCTCTGCTGTGAGATGCGCTCCGCTCTGGTCGACGGTTTGACGTTCTTCCTGCTCAGCCGCCGAGCCCACTGCATGCTCTTCTTCCTTAGCAGCGGGTGCTCCGATTGGTCACTCGTGGTGGAGTTTCTGTAGCCCGTCTTCTCCTTCCAGGATCCTCCACGATCACGGTGCTCCTCACCCTGCTCCACGTTGATGGACACCTGAGACTGGAATGGTAAGATGGAAATGTGAATGCTGGATTCTGTGAGGAAAGCGTGCACTATAAGAATAAGAAGCAAACAAACTTTTGATATTAAAAAAAAAATACCAGTAAGGTTTTGTTTTTTTTTTACTTTGCCTGCTTTAAGCAAAAAGGAGTCAGCTGACGTAATAAACAGAATCAAGCCTGTTTGGACCTTACCTGTGCATTACTGTCCCTGCACTGGAATACAAGGACAGACAGACATCCAAACAAAAAGAGATGCAATGAAAGATGAGGGCATTCAGAGCAAACAAATGTTCGAAGCCTTAAACATCAGCATATGGAAGCTTACATATGCTGTATTTAATATTTTATTTATTTATAACTGTATTAATAGCAGTATGTGAGAGTCAGTCAAAAATATAAATCTAATTTCATTGCTTGACATGAATTTCTGTCAGCTGGAATGTATCTGTATTAAGAAATGAATGGTAAATGTGCAGCCTCAAACAAAGGAAAGGCAATTTAGGGAATAGGACATACAAGCTGAAGAATAAGCAAGAGTATCAAAGGAGAAGGACTCAAGCAAAAACTAAGGGAGGGAATGATTAATAGATGGTAGCTGAATTCAAACCACAGGCAAAAGCTGACACCAAATCCAAGACCAGGACTCAGATACTGAGTATCTGATCAAAGTGAACTTGCCTCTGAGGTCGAGAACATATGCGACTCGGTCCGGTAGATCCCGATGGGAATCTCAGCGCTGGAGGAGCAAAGTTTCTGGAAGAGTCTGCCGTAGGTCCTGATCCACAGGTCCTCCTCTGTGATCTTCATCTGAAGTGAGAGATTGACGATAAAGTTGCTGCACATCACAGATGAAATTACTAAAATGCACAAATCACTTGGTAAGATGCAAAAGTAAATTTCCACATACAGCACATAGGTACCCAGAACCAGGCGTGGTGTCCAGACCAAGGAGAAGCCTGATGATGGCAATCATGTAGTCCTTGACAAATGACTGTGGTTTAAAAAAATAAGTTTAAAAGCTTTCGCAAACACATTTTGCAATTGCTCTGAGGGGAAGTTTTCTTTATAACACCTGCAATAAATTATTTTATCCTGTGCATTATGCTCATTAATATTTAATGGCACAAATGTTCTTTTGTAGGATATTCATTTGAGGCTTAAACACGTAAAAAAAAAACCCCACATTTACTTTAGACAATAAACTGCACCTTACTAGGAAATACTGATGTAACAGCCGTTACCTTTTTAGACACAACTTTCAGACAGAGGAACTAGTGCAGCACAAATTCTAAGGATGAAATCGCTGACAGACAGGTCTATATTTAACTATTTCATAACGAACTAGTTCAAAGTCTGTTATCCCACCTGGTAAAGTAGTGTATCCAGCATGCTGATACTGAACACTCTGCCTGCAGCAAACGGCAGCCGGAACATGAAAGCCAGGTTGGAGCCCTTATCACGCTCTATCTGGAAGCAAAAAACAAAATACAAACAAAAAAAAAGGGCCAAAAAAAGATTTAAGATAGAGTGGGGATACATACAAGCTTTATCTGTTAGTAATGATGATTTAACTGCATTAAACAAATGCATTCATTCACAAGAGGCCTGAAGTGTGACAAAAATTATTACTGGGTTTATTTGATTTCCTGGAAAGTAAGCTAACTCTTTAAATGTCATATAAACTCACCCGACCATGTTGTTTAGTGCAGCTGTTAAACTAACTGTTAACACAAAAATCTCTTCGGCTGATTGAAGCAGCAACACTCAGTGATTTTAGGCATGTAGACATGGTCAAGAGACCTGCTAAAATTCAAACTGAGCAGCAGAATGGGGAAGAAAGGTGACTTTAAATGTGGTGTGGGTATTGCTACCAGATAGTTTGGTCTGAATATTTCAGAAACTGCTGATCTACTGGGATTTTCCTGCACAACCATCTCTAGGGTTTATATAGAATAATCTGAAAAAGAGAAAAATGGCTCATTGATACCAAAATTCAGAGGAGGATGGCCACGCTGCTTCATAGGAAGGCAACAGTAACAGTAACTCAAATGACCAGTTGTTACAACCAAGGTATGCAGAAAAGCTTCTCTGAATGCACAACACAACAAAATGTGAAGATGATGGGCTACAGCAGCACCTTGTGCCCCTATCGACAGTTAAGAACAGATTTGTGGTGAAGCTAAACCAAAAAAAGCATATTGAAAAAAACACTGCCTGGTCTGATTAGTCTGGTTTTCTGTTGCAATGGTGATGGTGTGCTCAGAAAATGGGTGTAAAGAACATAAATGCATAGATCCACCTGCTTTGCATATCATATCAGACTGGTGTGGTGGTATAATGGTGTGAAGGATATTTTTTGGGACACTTTGGCACTTTAGTACCAGCTGAGCATCATTTAACAGCCATAGCCTGCTGTATCGTTGCTGACCATGCCCATCCCTTTATGACCACAGCGTAACCATGTTCTGACGGTTGCTTCCAGAACATGGACACACCATGTCACAAAGCTCAAATTATCTCAAACAAGGCAAAGAGTTCACTGTACTCAAATGACTTCCACAGCCACCAGATCTCAATCCAATACAGCACCTTTGGGATGTGGTAGAACAGGAAATTGTCATCATGGATGTGCAGCCAAATCTGTAGCAGCTGTGTGAATCTATGCCACGAAGAATTACAGCAGTTCTGAAAGCAAATTGGGTCCAACTTAAAACTAGCAAAGTGTACACAAAAATTGGCCAGATGAGTTTATACAGTGCAAAAAGGTAAAAAAAAAAAGAAAAGAAAAAAAGAAGACTTCATAGGCTGCAAGTTATAATGCACAACCCAAAGTGCTTACACTTCTCTTTGGGATACTGAGATATTTTTCGATTGTCCAGAAAATAAAACGATCTAAGTCAAAGACACTGAACACGAAACACTCACCTTTTCCAGTTTGGAGAGTGCGAGTGAGTAGCAGTCCTTGGCTCTGAACTGCATGAACCTCATGTTGGATGGATGCGTGAGCTCAGTGATGATGCTGAGACTGGGGAACAACCTGAGTGTGGAGGAAATAAAGTGAGAGGGATGTCAGTGGAAAGACAAAATGCTTTGTGTTGAGAGAGACATGGTGTGGCAGTGATAAATGCTTTTAATTTTAGTTGCTAAATAAATGAGCAGTTTCACAGCTTTGGCAGCTGTAGTTTGTCTTTGAGATGAGCTCTGCCTTTCTGTAAACCCCCTCTAAAAGCTTATATTTGCTCTTTGCCTTTGCAGTAAGAACAGACGAAGACATTAATTATGTGAATCTGGTGCACACTTGGGCCAAAACCAGAATCTTTACTCATACATAACAAGGGTGAGCTCGCACAAGGCGATCTATACTGTGGTCAAAAACATTAGACTCCCCAAAATTCACTGTGTTAACTGTGATTGCCGTACTCTGGTTTTGTTAGACGTGGGCATGTTAACAAGAGCTAACGAGAACTCCAACATGTTCTCAACGACAGCTGTCTCTGTGAAAAATGCTTTAGTACAGTAATCAACAAGCATGTGACACCTCTTCCCCAACCGAGGCACAAAATACATAAAACCATGAACCTTTTTCTCTGCAAAGTGAGAAAGACAGAGGCCAAGCGCACAAAGAGGAGAGAAGCTGAGATGAACTTAATGAACTTGTTCCTGGATCAATAAGATGAGTGGGCGAGTGAGAACAATTGAGACTGGTGGGAGGACACCTTTGAGTTTTTAAAGCACGCTCTATGTTACCTGAACATTGTCTGGACATTGACGATGGTCTTGGCATCTGCCATGTAGTCTTCCTCAGCACTCATAGTGCTCTCCTTGTCCACAACGACCAAGTTGTCAGCATAGATGATACCACACTGCAGCAGGTTGTCCAAGCTGTCCCATTCAGAAAGCAGCAGTGATTAATAGGTTATGACATGTTAGAAAACGGTAAATATAAGAGTAATATAGTAAATACAACCCCAACTCCAAAAAAGTTGGAATCATGTAAAATTTAAAAACAGAATTCAATGACTTGCAAATCTGATAAACCCACATTGTATTCACTAAAGAATATATAAAACATATAAAACAAATGTGTGAACTGAGACATTTTCCTATTTCATGAAAAATATTAGTCAAGTTTGAATTTGAAGAAAGCAACACCTTTCAAAAAAGTGTGAATGAGAGAAACAGCTGGAAGAACATTTTGCAACTAATTAGGCTAACTGGCAACAGATCGGTAACATGATTTGATATATATTTTTTAAAAAAAAGCATTGTGGAATAGTAAAGGGTAGAGGTTCACTAATCTGCAAAAAACAGTGCTTATAAATTTAGGAAATATTTCATAATAATGTTTCTCAATATGTTCCTGTGAATATCTCATCATCTATAGTACATAATATCATCAAAACAGCAAAAATTAATAATGGATGTTCGTGGTCTTCGGACCCTCAGGCGGCTGTCATGGAGATGCCTGCATGGCCTCAGGAACACTTTCAGAAATCTTTGTCTGTTAAAATAGTTCACCAGGTTAAACCTCTGTGATGCAAACATGGATGCTGCGTCCTCTGAACTAAAGAGCAGAGGGACCATCCTGCTTGTTATCAGAGCTCCATTCAAAAATATGCACATCTCTATGTAGTGTGGTGCACATTAGTGCACATGCAATTGTCAGCATGCTTATCTTTAATACCACTATCAATGCAGAATGTTACATACAGGTTTTACAGGCTACACAGAGTTACATAGAGTTTTACAGACTGAGCAGATGCAACATGGAGGTAAACACGGCCCTGTTCCAGCATTTTTGAGATGTGTTGCTCCCATCAAATTCAAATTGAGCTGATTTTTTTATGGCACATTTCTCTTATTTTGAACATTTTAATGTTGCCTCTTGTAGACAGAAATTGGATTTAAACAAATCCAAGTTTACCAAAATGTCCAAATCTGCATCGACCAAGAAGGTGAGGAGTTTACTAAGTGGATTTTTATGCATAAATAAATTATAATGGGCTGGACTGCAAAAACAAGTTTTAGATAGAGGTTAGTGGTTACTAAATATATTTATTTTTTGTCAGAATTGACGTGCACTACCATGCACATTCAACATACCCAGGATATATTTCTGTTGTCTGGCTTACCCTACATCTAACATCAAGAACTAGGCAAAGTAGTTGCATGAAAGGTTTTATCAACTCGATAGATTAAACTGGGGTTTAACCATCTAGTTATTCGTATGTTCACATGAGACGACCGGCACTGGCAGCATCTGATAGGCCTGACCGTCTGATGGACGAGTCTACTGGTAATTTTGGAGGTTAAACACACAATGCTGGCTGAAAGCAACACAGCTGCAGCAGACAAATTAGTGGTGTGAGCATCTAACGGGAAAACACTATAGAGTAGTTTAGTAAGAAACGTGCTTCTACAAATATGCTTTTAGTGATGGTAAGTATATTAATAAAGTCTAGCCATAAACCCAGAAAGCAAAACCAACAAAAATGCTGACTGTAAGCAGCATTACATAGTCAGCACTTTAAGACATGGAGGAAGCTGAGATTCTTACTGTTATTTCATTAAATAATATGTAGATGTGCATAGTAAAGTTTGAGTTTTTATTCTTTTAGCTGCGGCACCATGGCGATTAATGAAAAGAAAGAAATCTAAAAACAGAAGTCGAATGTGGTTATAAACAATTTGATACAAGTTCAAGAAACAGGTCTCCTGTTTTTTATAAATTTAAGTTTTTAGAATAATTATTGTAAAACTGTTTGCAGTCAACATTTAAAAACTTAAGTTGCTTCTAAGAATATTTTCCAGAGAGCTGATTGGTCAGTTGGCGGGACTTTCGTGCCTGTTGCTCTCGTCTCGAGTACAACCTGCCCCGAAGCAGGTTAGATCTTCAGTATAAGTTACCATGGTGATGCACACCAGTAAGAGGTGAACTACCTTCATGAAACTGAAAACCAGAGTTACAAATCCAGCTTCGTAGTACACGCCTTTGGTTTACGGGACTGAATAAACGCAGCACATCTTCAACTGCATGTTTTCCACTTGTTTTTTTTCCATGACTCAACTAAAAGAATCATATTTGCAGAACTAAAAGTTAGGTTTCAATGTACAGTTGTCTCCATAAAGCTATTATTTTTGTTAATGTTTAGACTATAATGCTATGGTGACTCCCTCTTTACATTGTTCATTCATTTTTGTTTGCAAAGAAGCCATTTTTTCTTGACAGCTTAATTACACATTAGTGAAGTTTTTAAATCACTAGGTTCAAACTAACTACCACTTGCTTTCCCTGCTTCAGTCAAACACTGAGTGCTTGCTTTGTTCCATCTCAAAAATCTGCAAGTAACAGCTGCAAGATGCACGTTTGAACGTCACTGACAAGCATCTTTGTCTTCTTCCTCAGGTAACACAGAAAAGATTAAAATGATTAAAAAATGTTTTATATAGTTTGCAATCAAACTGCTACATTTGATTCAAATGTGCCTATAAAACACAAAATCAAATCAGCAGCAAATGTGTTCAAGAGCCATTAAAGATTACAGTGCATTTAAGTTGTTGTGTAACTGTGATGTCCAAGATGTCCTGGAGCTGTACTTCTGCTGGCTGGATGAAAAATTATTTCATACATTAAGCTAGGTGATTAACCGAGTGCGTTTTCTTTTATAATATAAAAACTTACTTATCAATTGTGCCGGCCATGAAGTAAACCATTGGAAAGCAGCAAATGGCCTCTAAGAAATGGTTGTCTGGCCTGCGGGAAACGGGAAACATGAATTGAGCATCCCACACTAATTATCTTTGTAAACCCCAGTGACAGATTACGAAACTGTACAAGTAATTTCCTGAAATCTGCCTGTTGATGAGGGCAGGAAAGATTTGTTTGAATTCATTATGGATTAAGAGAGAAATAAATTGTTCAATGCATTTGGAGGATTTATAAAAAACTGCCTGACATTTAAATTCCTGAGGGGGCCACTTTGTTTTCCTGGCCCTGTGTTTTTATCGTTCATCTGTTTCAGCAAACTGCAGAAATGAGGTCAAAGTTAATGAAGCCCGCAGTGGGTTAGAGCAGAAAAAATGGACCACTGCAACATGCATGCACAAAAATATACATGCCCTAACATACAAACACTGCAGACGTCTATGAATAATGCAGAGAAAAAAGAAACGGAGATAAACTATATATATATATAATTTCATCTTTTGTCATCCACTGATTGACTGAATTTCTTAAATTGCAAACATAATTTTTTTTGTAAATCCTGAAATTCACTCCAGTTCTCTGTTTGGTGAACTTAATCATATACAGTACACAGCTTTTTCTCAATGTTGGGGCTAGGTTAACAAGTATATCCTTCCAGGTATAATAAGCAAGCCCTTATAGAGATATTATATTGCTGTCATTTTCATGCCTGCACCATAATCTGCTGCCTGTAACATCTGAAACTGCTAAAATAATGATCCTATAGAGAAGTCCATGCACCGCAATAATGATAAACCAGTCTCATCAACACTGTGCAGTAACACTGACATCCATGTAACAAAGAGAGGGCCTCCTTCATTGGTTATATCATCATCAACTATTCTTAAAAAGCACACAAAAAACCAAGTTTTATAAGACTCTCAAATTCTTGTGATATTGAAAAGCTTTAGGCTTTCGCATCACTGTCAGGAAATCTAATAAACGCTGGTCTGGATGTGTTGGATGTTAGACTGATCAGTCTTACGGGTAGTCCAGTAGCAGCACTATGGGGTTGAGTTCTTTTCTGGGCCGATAATAAGCCCGCAGAGGGACGATGAAGTTGTAGAGACCATTTCCGGCCGTCTCTGCAGACACTATAATCAGCTTATTCTTGAAGCCGTATGCCTTGGCATCCTCGAAGCTGTTATGTGTGCAGCCCTGGATGGAGACAGACAATTCAACAGAAATTTAGTCAAGGTCTAGTATTCCTGTGCGCTTAGGAAACAAACCACAGGGCAGTTACTTACCACGACGATAAAACAGATGTTTAAAAAAAGCGTTGATTTTGTACTGTGAGTTTTCATTGAGTCTTACCTTGTCGAGGCGAAGGCAGCAGAACGGAGCTTTCTGTGGTAGGAGGTGGCACAGGGTTGGAGAGCTGCCGATGTAGGGTGAGTTGGGGGGATAGCCCTTCACAAAGCTTGTGGAAAAGAAACAGAAAAAAACACTTAAACACTCAAAGAACTCACCTTTAAAGCTTTAAAGAAATATCAGGCAAATATCAGCGGTGATATATTTTAGGATATTATGCGACTGTTAATTTTTAACTTTATTTAAGGAGATTCTGAAGAGGCTTCTACTGTTACAAAATTTCTGTAAGCATCACCAACTCCCTCTTCCTTCTTTCATCACTACTTTATAATATAAACTAAGTGAATTATCACCAGTTTAATGTTTCTTCTTTTCAGTTTGTTATTAGATTCTGCAGCTGCTTTACTATAATTACAGATGTTTATAAGCCTGAAGGACTAATTCCATTACAAAGTTTATTTATTTTTAATCAAGTCTTGATTGTGTGTCCGTTTGGTTCTGTGCTCCTTGATTTGTAATGGGTCAGCTGCAATTATCCTAATGAGTTTCACGATGCCCTCTAGTTTGCCAATAAAAGAAATTCCAGCTGATCATAGATGTAAACCTACTGATCACCACACGATGGCACTGTGGGACCTTGAATTTTCTTCTATGCGGCACTGACAACTCTTAAAAAAGAAAAACTACTGAAGCGTCAACGGGTGCAGTAATGGAGGCACACAGGTCAGAAGGACCATGTTAGGTCCACCTTTATGAAACTCACCATTGTCTGGGTCTAACAGCTGGTTGGTTTTCATGGGCTGAGGGATCAGTACCTAATCTATCCTGAACTTATCTCACTTTTAAGAAACCGCATAGATGGAGAAAATAAAGCACATGGGCCTTGGCCTACATCTGACGTGCTAAAACCCTTTCAGGGTGACTCTGCCTGGCTAACTGATAAATGAGCGCTAAGAGCAGCAATCAATACAGGGACACCATACAAGAACCTCACTTGAGAAAAAGTGCTATCCTCACTGACATGATGTACACATTCATCACTAGTACTTCACATCTAATAGCATCACGACACACTGATTACATGCCTATTTCAAACTCATCCATCTTTGATCCTACAACAGCTGAGAGACAAAGAAGAGAAGGGGAGGTGAGATCAATCAAGCACAGAGCAAAGGATACCACGGGCACATTTCAGTTTAAAAAAAAAATACTTACTCTGAACCTACAGAGCCTTCCTCATCTGATTGGTTGGTCTCATCCTCTGACTGGTCACTGAGGAGGTCGCAGGGCAGGATGGAGGAGGAGTCAGCGATTTCCAGAACGGGGGCGATGCTCGGTCGGCGGCTTCCAGCTCCGTTCTCTGTTGGGAGGGCAAGTTTGCCGGTTTCCTCAGGAGGATCGGGATGCTGCAGGTCAATGGCTACGGTGCCTGGAAATCATGTTGGGTTATATTATCACAACTGTAAAGCTATATAGAAATAGCTTTATGTATATATTGAGACTTTTCATTATCTTGGCCTGTAATATTCCTACTACTCTCTTGAGTCTCAGCAGTTTGACCTTGAGGAGAAAATGTATTGCTTTCTGAAGCACAAAGCTACCATCTACCATGAAAAGCATGCATATAGTAATGACTTAGCATATCTGTCAGTAAATATATCCCTATGATGTATGATATACATCATATCATAAATTTGAAAAATGGATAGATCAGTTATATAAAGCACAATTGTTTCCAACTAGTTAGGATGCTGTGACGAAGAAAGGTGATTAAAACAGAATGCAAATATTGGCATTAGCGTTATTCAAAGCTTGTGTTTATTAAAAAATGTACAAAGAGAACAAATTGATCAATTAAAAAAGGCTAATATTTGCAGAGTGTTGTTACTTAAAGCACCCTAACTTATTTGGATACAGAGTTGTACAAGATATGTGGCACAATATCAGATTTGATATATGTACTATACATATATCATTCTGTTGAAACATTTTTAGGCTAAGTGTGAGGTGTTATTGTGCAAATGATTCCAAATAAAATGTGTGAATAATAGAAAATTGATGCCTCATGCACAAACTTACCAAATGAAGTGGCCTGATCAACTTTCACAGGTTAAAAAAAAAAGCACAACACAACAATGTCAGCCAACAAAGTAAAAAAAAAAATCATGCTTAACAGTCAGTGAAAGCATAAAGCATCAGCAAGGCAGCCCTAAGCATTCAGAAAGGCCCAGTGTGAGTGCAATTTAGAGTAAACCACCAACAAAGCATCCATTTTCTCTTCTTCTATGGAAACCGTTTCAGCCATCAGATAGTGAGCCTAGTAAGCACACAAACAGAACCCTCCCATCTTCCTATTTTCTCTGCTTTCTTTATCAGCTGCGCTTTTTGTAAACATCATTTATTCCTGCCTGTGGCTTTCAGTCTTACCCATGCTGGCGATGATGCTGTGCACAGGTAGCCTTGAGGGGGCGTCATAGAGCCCGGAGACAGGCAGGCCCTTGTGCTTCTCCTCTTGCTTGAAGATGAAAGCAGAGTTCTCTTCCTTGGTGATGTTGATGTAGTAGCAGGTATCGGTGGCAGCCATGATGTGGCGAGGTCCGGGGTTCAGGAGGATGCTTTTGTTGTCCTCTCTTTTAACTCCAATCAAACACACGCCATACCTGACGATTGAAATCAAAATGACACCAACATGGTTTTTGCTCTCAGAGATGTTACTCTAATGTGAAAGGATCTTACTCTACTGAGCTAGAAGAAAATGTACTAACTTCTTGTGGGCGTGGAAGGAAGCATAGGTGAAACTCTTTCCGTCGTACTCCCCAAAAAACTTGCTGTCACACAAGCGGATGTGGTAGACCTCGTTTCCAGAACAGCGTCCATATGTCCTCTGCCACTGCTCCGGTGATAACTGCCCCTCCCTGAATTTGTATTAACAGAACAATTCATTCTGATGTTTCGTGTCCCATAGTCTTTTTGCTACATGCTACATTCTTACTATATTTTAGACTGTGATCTTAAACTCTGGCGCAGAACCAATTTGAATGTCAGAGAAATTGTCAGACAAATGTCAGACAAATTACACTTTATTTGTCTCTCGGTACTGATAAATCAAACCTTTCATGACCTTTTCTGACTCTGTTTTCCCCAGCCTCCTCAACTCTAGTCACAAACAATATCAGGACACAACAGGCTTTAAGGTCATTGACATAAGACAGATTGTGTACATCATAATTATACTTGAAATCTGGCACAAATTAAGTCTTCTGTCATCTTGTCTAAGGCACAAACTGGGGCCAGTTTCCATAATGGAAATGAAAATGGATGTGTGTCTCCTGCGGACTGAACAGAATGTGAAAAAAAACAAACAGCCAGATTTATGGCCTGACAAGAAAAAAGTGTAATGTTCACTGACTCGACAGTGACAAGTCGGGGCAGCGGTGACAGTAGAGTAGTGAGATTGTACCGAGTGCAGTCTGTGTAACTGTAAAGACTGTGTGCAGAACACACAGTCATCCTCCTCTCAAATTAATCCCAAAGAGAGATTTAATCTCTCCACAAATATTCAACTCTTTAGTCAAAGCGAAGATTAGAAATTTTACTGAATAGAAACCTTTCAGAGAAGCTGAGTTGCTATGTAGGCAGAAACACAGACATTTGTTGAGTAAATTCTTAAGGAGTAAAAATATGGTTTTTATAGGTCTTATTAGCTTGAAATCCAAAAACAATGTCCACAGGCTACAACAAACTATGTCTTCTAGAGCAATTACAGAACTCACAGACACTTAAAAAAACTACACAGGGCTTCCATTACTTGTTTCCTTAAGTATAATACTACCCATACATGCAGATTTAGTTTAACTGCCAAATAATTGTTACTTTATCCGGGTAATTTGTGTTACAGTAACACATACTTACTGGAAAAATACCAAATATGGTTGGCTTAGTGTAGGAAAATGAAAAGAAGCAGGTGTTGAAATTAGACTTTATCCAAAGGAACCAAAAACGTCCTCCTGTTTGCAGGACTGGAAAATCTAGTCTAATAACAGGTTTCCCAAAATAATCAGGCAGCAGTGCTAACCACTGCATCATCGTGCTGCACTAATAAGTAAATTAAATGTATTTTTAAAAAATTGTAAAAAAAAAAAAAGAAAAAAAATGAAAAGGGGAAAGAATAATAACTGCAAATAAATGTTGGTGGATACTCACTGTCCTCTGGAGGTGTGAACCAACAGGGTAATTAAAGTGGACGTGGCTGGACACACACAGTTGAGTGCCAACATAGCGTACTTGAACTCCTCTTCACAAACTACATGATCTAATTGAAAAGGAATAATTGCAAAATTAAGAAAAAGTCTGGCCTGTGTCTCAACAACATGCCAAATTACTGTTTTTCAGAAGCTATGAATTCTTTGCATACTCACCAGCAAACTTAACATGAAATTTATTTTCTGGTTTGAGAATCTGTACGTAGAGAGGGCAGTTTGGAGCAAAGTCTTTTGCAGCCCATGCCCTCAAAATAGTCTGGTGATCCTGTGAGGGAGCAAAATTGTGTTATTTCACTTGTCCAGTGGCTCATTTTCATCTACAACTTCCCTGGCAAATATCAAAGGGAATAGGGTGTAAAGGGAAACTGCTTATTTGAAATAATCATTATCATGACACAGTTTAGGATGAGACTCACAGCTGCCGTTCGGTCGACTTCGTTCCTGCTGCTCAGGATGAAGCAGGCCTCAGCATCGTCCATCCTGACAGATTGGAAGAGACACACAAAAGAGAGATAGAAAGGCAGGAAAGAGGTCATTCAACCAGGTGTGAAACACCTCATTTTAACAGATCAGTGCATTAAATTAAAGCCAGGCATAGATGAGCGTTAATATGCCATTACAAAGGCTCAAAAGGTTAAAAGCCCAATTAATCTCTGAAAACACTACCGTATCAGAATGCAGTGCTTGCAACACAGGAGCTGCTTCTTCTTTTTTTTTTATCTGCTTCCACCTCACCCTTCCTAGCATCCTCTTCTGTCACACCAACCCTCTGCATGTTCTCGATAGAGGTTAGTCATTTGAAGGTAAGCTGGCTGTGTGGTCACATATCGGTGCGTATGAAATGACACAGCACCTGAACAGCTGCACATTAAAGAGGGCATCTTGGAAAAGAGGAGTGAACTTCTGGACAAACTTAAGACTTTTCAAAGAAAAGGATATAGGGCTGTAATTCAACATCTGCAGCCGAGCTACGAGATACGAATGCCGCGGTTGTGCAGTAATGGGTTTGATTGACGAAAACAAAACTGACAGGTCAAAATCTCTCTCGCTGCTTCTGTGCAGAGTTTGCTCTTTGAAGTGAGGAGATGATCGATGTGGAGTAAAACTGCATTACACTGAAGTGAAAGCAGAGGCCAGCCAAGCTGATTTGTAAGTATCTCACCCTTTAACTGCACTTCAATGGCTTTGCATTGCCAGTTGAGAAGCAACACTTTAAATTACATTCCAAGTCGTATCCAGAAAATAAAAAGAATAAAACCAATCAGATTCAGCTCTACTGAAATCTGAACCTTTCAGAAAGATAACGCACAAGAGCTTTGTTTTTAGGTGTTGGTCTTAATATGTGCATGTTATGCGTTTACTCACTTGGCCCTCATCAGGTCCTGGTCTTTGAGAGCAGATCCTTGCAAGTAGATAACCCTCTGGGACCACAGGGGGATCTGGAGAATTCGACGAACTTGAATGTCTATCTCTGTCGGGCACAAAATCACCACATAATAGTCCTAGAGAAAGAGAGAAAAAAACAAGAAAATTAAAATCTACAAAAAACCCCAAAACAAACATGAAATACAAAAACCCTGGATAAATCTATAAAAAGTGAGTCAGTCAGTCCACAGTGTATATATAATAAAGCCATGCAAAACATTTACTTTCATCCTGCAAAGAGTTACAGCCCCGTGAAGTACACAGGCATGAGCTGACCTTTTCATTTTTTCCCCAGTATTTTTAAACCCTCATAAATTCATTGGTACAGGAGAAAGTAACATACATTTTTCATGACTGATGAACACATTTTAGCTCTGACAACTGCAACCAAATCAACTTTACACCCATTCCAAAGTCAAGATCCACAGGCAAAGTGCTCTTTTTTTCTTGATACCAAATGTTGAGGGAAAAAAATGATATAAAACAAAAAAGCTGCAACTTTTTCACAGTAAAACATCCAATAAAGTACAAAAATATTATAATATAAAAAGTTATAATATAAACCAGTACCTTAGTGGCATGGTAGCTTATCCAGCTCAATATTCATCAAAGTGCACAGCTTATTGTGTTACTGTGTCGTGCTGTATGTGTGAAGTACAGTGACAGTGAAGTCTTCTTGTCATTGGTCAGCTGTACTGGACCGATTAATAACAATTAAAATCCACTGAGAATGACAAATATGACCTTGAGCACAGTTTAGGTGAAGACCTATTAGGATATCATTGCACGGAGGTTTCACTAAGTTCTACCAAATACTGCAGGAGGAGTAGTGATTCCTCTGACTTGTGAAAACAATACATACAGTTCATCTGTCCTTCCACGGGCTGAGCGAAAAATCAGCTGATTCTTAGGCTGGCAAGTTGAAAGGTTTTGCCTTATTTTATATTGAATAGTCACTGTGTACTACTGACTTAGCTAATTACACAACCGGTCTCATGTCTCATGCTCATGATTAAAGCATGCAATAGAAATATAGAAGATATAGTGGAAACAGTGGAAATAAGCAAAATAGCAGCATATTAACATATCATTTGGTCTTTTCATTGTACCTGTAATCTGGGATGAGCGTAGAACTCGTTGAGGAAATCCATCAGCAGGTCTATCTTCAGCGAGCTGACACACAGCACCACGTGCTTCTCTGTCTGCGCCCGATGTCGACTATAGTTCCCCCCCAACTTCTGGCTCTCCATCCACAGGTATGCTAGTTCTTCAAACTGACACAATGACAGCAAAGGTGGAGTGATGTCAAAAGCAGCAAGAATGAAATAAATAATAAAAAAATGAGATAGATTTTCTGTCTGGACACAGATGGAGTGAAAACTACTAGTGGAGTAATTTGGCAGCAGTGGGAGTTCATCTCCACTTCTCACTCCATTTGCTCCACAGGGACAGAAACTTTTTGAGACATGTGAAGGGATGAACCTGTTCGCAGTCTTTAAATATAAATAACACAGTATATATGTGGACTAATGATGCAGCAAATGTGAGCCAGGATTTTGACTGGCACTTGCAAACTTCTTCTGCAGCCAAAAAAATGTCACAGAAGCGAAGGACCAAATTAGACTTTTACGAGCTGCAGGCCAGCATGAAAATGTCATTTAATATCTGATGATACCCACACAAAGGTCATCACTGACTGCAGAATATTAAAGAATTCCTTATGATTAAACAGACCTAACACAAGGCTTACAACAAACCGCAACCCTTCACTGCACTTTGCGAATCGCTGGTTTTTAATTTAGCACAGAGTCGGTACCTGTAGTGGCAGGACCACCAGGGCAACACAGATGAGAATGACCACCAGCAGCTGGGAGGGCCAGATTTGTGGCGTGACGTCCCCGTAGCCCACGGTGGAGAAAGTAACGATGCAGAAATAGAACGAGTCAAATAAGGTCAAGTTCTTCCCAGCTCTCTCTAGATGCTGGATCCCGCAAGCCCTGCATAAAAACGAGGAATCATACAATGACACCAGACAAATGTCCTACGGGTAAAGATAATTAAAATATAACATATGAAAGGGGATATATTCTGCTAAGGCAATCTCTTTCACTATGGTAATATAGTCATGTCTAGACTGGATATTACAATTCAATTTGACCAAGAACAAAGGCCCAAAGGTCAGCCCAACGTGGGCTTCTCCTCAGTATGGCATTTAAAGTGACACCATGATTGTTCTGTCAGTTTCCTCTGACTGCTCATTAGGTGTTTTATTCTTTTTTTGGATAAGTTGGACACAGTCTGGGGCTGGGGGAAAGTGAATCAGAGCTATGATGTCAGAAATAACACAACTTTGATTAAATTCACTGTTTTTAAACAAGAAAATCAATTAACAATAAAGAAAACAAGGTTATCAATACAATAACAGTGTTTGTAGGTCTGTTTACTCTGACGCTGATCATCAGTGCATTTTTATAAGCATTTCTTTTTCCAACAACAGTAGCAAATATGTATCTCTTTCATGGATACTACCTCTTAAAAAACATTAACCAATAACCAACCGTAGCTCACAATGCCTGCTTTCAACAGATCTTTGAATAGCTACCTGTTTTGCTTTTTCCAGTTTTCGTTTCTACAACATATATTGCTTCTACCGGATAATAAGCCACGCAGACCACCAACTGTGAGACGATGTTTTTGGGGTCACGTGGTACAAGGTTCAGAGAACAGATTTTGCCCCAGCGGTCAGAGATGCACTTCAGTGACTAACAGCGAGAACAGAGGCTGACTCACCCGGTGAAAACCAGACACAGTAAGGTGCAGATGAGGATGAACACCTGATTAAACATGGCAGAGTGGGTCCTTTGGATGGCACGATGGAAATCATTCTGGACACAAGAAAAGAGGTTTAGTGCATTAGTCATACCGCTGATTGAGAAATATGACACATTTTCCAATTGTGATAGCAAAAATAAACAATTTCTCAAGGACAACTGGAGCAAAATATATTTGCAAAACAAAGTATTAAAAGGGCATCTGCATCACACGTACAAATTCCTTCCAAACCAAATTAAAATCATTTAATTTAATTAATCAAAGCTCAGATCTCTTACGTAACTGTAGTCCATTATTTTACTAACACACAAACTACACCAAAACGAGTGCCCTTTCCTCTTTGGAAGATTTTTTTTATACTCCTATATTAGCATACTGTCCATCTTCCAACGTGGCAGCTCACGACTCATTTTCACTTGCACCTTGTTAGCATGTTCTGCCTGCCACCACCCCCCTGGCCACAGATTCAACCATCTGCCACCTACCGTCTTGGCATGTAGCTCTTACTCTGTCTCATCTGAATCACAGCAAGAGCACACACTGCACCAGGTGGATCCAATGGAATTGCTTTGAATTTCATGTACCTGTTAAACCCTTCTGGGCAACACTAATACTACAACACCAGATTTCTGTGAACTCTGTGTTTTATTAAACTCCGCCGTGCCCACACTTGTACTTTTTGCTTTGGCTTGACTTGCTCTTGATATTGGGTAGTACTCTAAACATATACTGCTTTACTTGCAACTTTAAACAATATACACTCATTATCCACTTTGTTAGGTACACCTTGCTTGTACTGGGTTGAAACCTCTGTGCCCTCAGAACTACCTTTATTCTCTACGAAATAGATTCCACAATGTGTTTGAAATATTACTCAGAGATTTTTGTCCATATTGACACGATGGCAACTCATAGTTGCTGCAGATTTGTTGGCTCCACATCCATGATGGCAATCTCTGGGAACTATGGAGGCCATTTGAGTACAATGAGCTTATTGTGATGTTCAAGAAACCAGTTGGAGATTATTTGAGCTTTGTGAGATGGTGTGGTATCCTGCTGGAAACAGCCAAAGGAAGATGGGTATATGGTAGTCATAAAGGAATCACGTGATGAGTAATAAGTGATAAGGGGCCCAAAGTGTGCAAAAAAGTATTTCCCACACCATTACACCAGCAGCAGCAGCCTGAACCACTAATATTGACACTCAGACTTAGTAATGTTTCTTCCAGTCTTCTTTTACTCAGTTTTGTAGCTTCAGTAGCCTCGGTTCCCTCGGTGTGGCACCTGGTGTGGTTCTCAGCTGCAGTAGCTTGTCTGCTTCAAAGTTAGTTTTGCTCAAAGATGCTCTTCTGCATCCGTTGGTTGTAGCAAGTGGCTGATTGAGTTACTGCTGCCTAACTAACTGCTCAAGCAGTCTGACCATTCTCCTATGACTTCTGGTATCAACAGGGCATTTACTAATGGTCACTAATGGTCACTGGATATTTTCACACCTACCCTGTGTGATTGGCTGATTAGAAATTTGTATAAATGAGAAAGTGAACAGGTATTTCTAATAAAGTGGACCAATGAGTGTAGGGCCACGATACCTGCCGTGCATGCCGTGCACTAGCCTCAAGAACATGCAGTCAATTCTAAAAGAAAGAAAAAGTGCTTGCTTCTTCCTTATGCTAGCTTCTAGTGAGAAAACACAGTATGTCCGAAAGCCTACTGCAGCGTGAATATGAAAGTCTGCTGTTCGATTAAAAAAACATGTCTTTTGTTTTCTCCTAAATACGTCAGCTAAACATGAATAACATGGCTTGTGTTAGCTTTGTAGCCAGCTAATTAGACAGCAGGCTAATTTATCAAAGTAACCACTGTTACTGCTAATAATGTTACACAGATAAATGTAGCTTCAAAAAGATATGTTGTTTTGTGCACATATCAGTGTCGACAAAAAGAGAGTGTCAGCTAACCAGAAAGAAATGAATTAGCCTAGTCAATTAAATTCTGTTTTGTTACATTGTATCAACCCACTGAGCACTTACACAATGTTACTCATGAGCTCTAATATGGCTGCTAGAGGGCAGATAATTTAACCCCAAAGCCCATAGTAATAAAGAAAACATACAGTTTTGTTTATTCTCTCTAGTACAATCAAGCTTTAGTGTGTAAGATGCAACACACACTTTATTTACATTGGCAAAAAACTTACAATCATATTCTCCAGAGCACCTTTGGCTAGCCAGCAGTTAAGAAACACAGGGACGAATATGTCTCTTAATCGATGCCAGAAAATCTTAAAGAAGAAAAGAAAGAGACAGGGTGAAAATATACAGTATATTAGTAAAGCGATATTTAGTTAACATACCTCATATATAACATGACGTTACAATCCCCAATACAAATAATAAAGAAATTTAGATGCATTAGGTAGTTTCTCATTAAATTCAAAATTGTACATATCTGATATTTGAAGATCTTGTTTTGTGGACAAGGCGAACTGATTAAGTTACTCACTGTGATTATAAATGGCACTGTGTTGATCATTTCCAGTATGAAGGAAATCTGGAAGATCTGCTCCCAAATGTTTCCCTAGAAAGGAAATTAATGGGATACAATTTAATGAATCTGCTGCAGGGGTCTGCCTTCGGTAGATGGAGGACATCAACATAAAACAACACCATGTAGGAAAAACAACAACAACTTTCTGTGCTAACGTCTAAAATCTTTGTTGAGAGGAGATGGTTCTTTGAAATTAACAATTTTCGTGTCAGTATCTGAATATAACACCTGACTTTGTGCTTAAAGCATTCAAATGTGCTTGTTTGTAGTTTTTGCCTGTTATGCTTAGCTACTGTGCTTAAATGTAAGATACAAAGTTTAAAGTGAAGATAAAAAGGTTCTAATATATATATACCACTTAAATCTCTTTTCATAATGAAGGGTTTACATAATCGACTGTATGATGCAGCCTCTGCTCATTTACACGTGTGTTACATAATGTCTCTGTGCACTATAATTCCATTTGGTATTATATAGCAGTGAATGAGAACATAAGTAAAAATATATCTGCATCTATTTTCACTGTCAAGGTATAATGTTCAAGAAGCAGAACACTATAAATTTACGCTTGTGTGAAATGATACACTGAGGAAGTGACACTGGAAACTAGACATGTAAAAAGCAGCAGTTTAAGATAAAAGCCATCATCTCCAAATGCCCATCCATACAGACTCCATCACACACATATCTCAAAACCACAATATTTTGAAAGGCTTCACCATCTGAGGACAAAATTTAACATCGGCATGTGTGACTCATAAAGTAAAAGCAGTAGGAACCCTGTTCAATGGAACTGAAGGAAAGAAGAAGATAAAGACTGCATGTAATAAACCCGAATGCAAACATCTGAGGATCTCAACAGGACATGAAAGCAATGGTGCAACTTAGATTCAGAGTCAGGGAAAGCTGTGGGAGATGTTCAAATCCAAACTAATACTGTGTTCATTCCTAAAATCTTAATTTCTAAATACATTAACAGATGAAAAAGTAAAGAAAAAAATATGGACAGTATGTGATGCTTCTCAATTCAATAAATATCTGAGAAGAGCTATTACAGCTAACTGAATGGTCTGTTATGAAGATATATTTGTGTGGATTGTAAAATGTTTCAAATATTCTGTCTGCCATCAGATATTCTGTATTTCTATATACCGTGCATTTCACTAACACATATTTTTGATATTTTACTTGCAATGTGCACAATCCTCCTTTTGCATGCACAAGGACTGAGAAAAGAAGTGCATACTCAGATGTGTCACAGATTCAAGGAAAGCTGAACCTAAACTCTTGACAGCTACAGCGAAGGGAACTGATTGTGTTCTGTGGCATTCGGCTGGTTCGGGGAGAGAAGATTAGCTGAAAAACCAGTACAATAAGTGATCATTGTTATCCTACGATAAAAAAAAAATGGTTTCCTGATGGGAATGATCACTTTAAATGACCATATCATCACCACTCATAAGGTACCAGCGCTCACTTAATGGTTTGATCAATATGAAAATGAGCACTCAGCTGAGCCCCTGTGGGAGGTTTTAGGTGGATGTGCTTGATCGCACCCTCCAAAATCATCAAAACACCACACGAGGGAATAACTTTGAGAAAAATGATATTTAAATCTTTTGGTAGAGTTCCAGCAACTTTAGAATCAATGCTAAGGTTTGCAAGGCTCGCAAATCAGACCTAAATACACTTGTGATGCATCTTTCTGTCACGTGTTTGTAGACAAAACACAAACAGCACTTTAAGCTCTGTAGAGCCTTTATCTCAACTTCTTTCTGAGACAGTGTGCTAGATGTCTGAGTTGAAAATTTGCAGCAAAGACTGCTGGCTCTGTGATGGGGCTGTCTTTGGGGAATGTAAATGAGGCTGGAAAGTGTTGGTTCGCAAGACAGGAAACAAAGCGTTGGACTTAGATCAAGAAGCTGCAAGAGGACAATAAGAATTAAAAAGATAAAATTTGTAGTGTGAGTCAGTCTCTTACCTTGTAGCTGAGATATGTGATAAGCATAGTCTCCAAAAAACTGATTAAGGCCACTGTCACCTGGAGCAAAGGGGAGAGAGATAAATGAACCCTGCAAATGCAGACTCTTCTCGGCCTTCAGCGGGGAACGTCCATACTCTGCAGTGTTTTTATCTAATAAATGGCTTGTGGTGTTTCTGGGCTGAATTATGCATTGAGACTGAGTTCATGGAATGGAATTTGATTCATGCACACAGAAACGGTATTATGCTCACCTGTATTGCCCACACAGACTCTCGTCTGTTCACCCAGAAAATGCGTTCCCTGTCACAAACAATGTGAAACTTTTACTCACACTTCACTGCATCTGCATTTATTATCAACCTTACTATTGTGCACCACTAATTTTACTATGGAGTGCCATGTTAACATGAACATACCATTTGATTTGTGGTGGCTCTGATGTATCATTCCAACCATTGCTTCGATTCATTGCACTGTATTACGGACAGGAGTAAGGAAAAGATAAACACAGAGTAACAGTTTGAACGTCTGACTGGGAGGAAACACGTCTACTGGGAGTCAAACATCCACATAACTGCATAGGATGAGCAACTTTTTCACATTGTTCATATAAACACGCACACAACATGAGTAAAATGATATAATCACTATAAAATAATTAACTGTTGTGAAAGTAAAAAACAGAATATTTCACATATACTTACAGTGTCGAGAAAAAGCATTTGCCCTTTCCCTGATTTCTTTGTTTTTTTCCCTGAAATTGGGAAGTGGCAAATACTTCATGGTACTGTATCCTTTATGCTTTATGCTCTCCTGACAACCTTCAGTGAAACCCTCGAGATGAAGAATCTTATTGGCCAGTCTGTTATAGTCCAGTACAGGCAGCACTAACCTAACATGTTTATCTGTGAGTCCCCAGAGGCAACTGCACACAGATGGGCCCTACCAGCCACTGAAATAAGGATCCTCTATGAGGAAACAGAGCTAAGCGCTAAGCCATCACGCTGCAGTCACTTACATTTACCGTTTTCTACAATGGAAAACAAAAAAATATATATTTTGGAAATTGTTTGGAATTGCTAGATTAAAATGCTGTAAATACACTTTTCCTAATGTGCAGACCTGTTAATAACAGACTTTGGTTGTGACAGCTGATATTGGGCTCTGTGAAGCCAGATAACAGAGGGAGTGATGGACTAATAAAGTAACATTACACATACATGGCTTTGTTTTTATCTCACTCATTTTATCTCAGCTTTAATGTTTTTTGTGCGGTAGAGTTTGAGTATCTGGAAGGACTGCTTTAACATTTACTTACCCTGTGATGACATGACTATCACCCTTTTCCTCTTTCTTCTTTTCTAGCTTTTATTTATCCTCCATTTTTGATTTTTAATAAAAAAGAATTACTATGTACAAGTGGAATAGGAACAGTGATTGAATAGGGAGAGGTAGAGTCTCACTCTCACCATGGGCTCCCATTTTTCTCCTTCAGATCTTCCAAGCTGACTCTTAATATGTAGAGGGCACAGGTGAGAATCTTCAGTGAGAAGTTGAACAAGCGGATCCTCAGGCCTGTGGAGCAACAACAAAAAAAGCTGGAGCGTAAATTGAGTGACTTAAAGAGGAGCTTGCTTACATCTTTTCACATTATTCACAGGCTCAGACTTAAAGCTCTGTGTTGACTTTTTTTCCACTCTTTTTTTGTGTACACTTTGTCTGCAGTCTGAAGTTCAAACAGAGACTGCTGTCAACAACAAATCCAGCAAATTCTCTTCATCATAGCGAACTGCTACTGCTCAAATTGTGGTCGTTTGGGTGCATAAAATGCTTTTACCCCTGAACCATAACTATTATATTTCCATGCCTCTACAGCAGCCTGGCACACCTGATTTTCCATGACGCACATCCTTCAAATCCTTCAAGAAGAACACAAAAATAACACTAGCACTTTTGTATGCTAACAATGTGCAGAAGCATTACAAAGCAGTATGAATGCCTGGTGGGCTTGCATAGAAATAGCCATGGGTGTCACGGTCCTGGGTCGGTGACCCAGTGTTTTGAGTTTCTTGTGTCTCTGAGTTTTTGTATTATGATCTTAGTTCTCTTTGTTGCCCCAGTTTATTCTTTAGTCTAGTGTCTTAGTTTGACTTTCTTGTATTCTCTTTAGTTTTCTGAAGATTTAGTTAGCCGCCCTCTGTGTCTCCCTGTTATTTTTCTCTGTGTTTCTTAATTGCTCTGTCTCCCCTAGTCAAGTCTGCGTCTATGTTACATTTCCTGTTTTACTTTGAAGGTCTGTGTCCTACGTGAATGTATTGAGTTTCGCTTCCCTTGGGTCTCGTTATGTCCGATTTCTCCCAGCTGTGCTCCCCTTCTGTGTCTCATTCCCCTCGTTATTTCCCAGTGTATTTAAGCCCCGTGTTTCTCTGTGTCAGTGTTGCAATCTCCCTCATGACTGTGTGCGCCTCCGTGTGTTTCCTCGTGAGTCAGTTCCTTTATGCGTCCCAGTTTAGTTCCATATTATTTTGTATCGCCTTAACTTCCGTCAGCAATAAAGCTGTATTTTGAGTTCAGTCCTGTTTTCCCGTGAGTTTGCGTTTGGGTCCTCTCCTGCCTGCACACAGCGTAAACATGACAATGGGTGATAATAATGTTTATGAAATCACAAGGTTTTTTTTTGTGGACATAAGTGTACTGATAAACTCCCATACAACCTGCTACATACAACACTAAATAATACACATAAAAACTAACGCCTGGCAGAAGATGACAGAAGCTTTTTTAAATGTAGCAGTGTCAGCTAGCCAGTCAGTCATCCAGCCAGCGAGTTAGCTAATCCCTAGTGACACGACCCCTTGCGATGAAGCCTGCGTCAGTGTTAAAAAGGTTTGAAACAGGGCAGACAAACAAACAACAAATGGAGCAGAAGACCCCCGCAGCACGATGTGACATTTTCATTAAAACCTGCTGTTTAATGTCAAAGACTATGGCTGCCTAGTGACAACAACAAGCTGAGCGAAAGAAAGCGGAGCCAGCGTCACGGACCTGGTAACGACATGTCCAACTATATGTGGGAGAGTTCCCATAGTGTACATTTTTACAACTACATGCAAATGAACAGCTTCCAGACACAGTGCACCAAACTGCTGAGTCATCCCAGTGTCTTCTTTAGAGACAATGTGGCATGTCCTAATGAGAAAAACACTGCAGCTCTGCCTCATCTCTCCACAAATGAGCCATATTCTTCTGTCCACGCTGGGTCACAGCTTGAACACCTAAAACCCCAACAATGAGGCAGCTAATGTAATAATGAAAGCCCCAACTGAGACACAAAGTGGAAATATGTCATCATTGGCTGTCATTTCCTTTATTATGCACTTATTATTCATTTGGCTCAGAAAGTATCTAGCAGTAGCAAGCCGCTTACCATTTTCACTCTAAAAGATAGCATAGTTTATGGTTACTTACTTGACCTTTGGTTTTTGATGAAGAAAAGCTTTAGCCTCTCCTTGAAGGTGTTTTCGTTCACATAGAACTCTACCTGAACCCTGTGGGGGCAATGCAGAAAGGTTAAGCATAGAAGAAAACAGTAACAATATGGTGACATTTCCCAGAAGTCTTCATGTTTCGTACGTTTCATTTTATTGTGATTTTTCACTTCTTGTCAACAGAATTGAGTTTTTTTCCAGTAAACTCCAGCCAGCAGATCACATGCAAATCTATACAGACTTAGAATAAGCTGTATATTATTTTCACTAATTCTGTTACCCAGCATTTACTGTCTGCCATGTACAATAACAATATTGATCACAAGTACATTCACATCTAACTTGAAATTCAAACGTACAGCATCTGCAGTCATTAATGAAGATTTATGTAAATATACTGACAATCTCTCGACAGCGACTGCGAAACTTCTCCACATTCAGAGAAATACTTTGTTATAAAGTATTTTTTTAATTACTTTAGTGAGATATTTATTCAAATTGACTAATTTGTTCTGTGAAAAGGGCAAAATAGGACTGAATTATTTCTGATTGCTTAATATTTCTAAACATTTCATAAAATTTGTAATATTTATTTGCGACTTTTAAGAGTGCCAACACATTCAGCACTCTGAAACCTTGTTTACAATTTGAGAGACAATCAGTACCTCTGGAGTCTAGCCTTATTTCTTCACATAAATAAGAGAGAATACAAGTGGAGAGCCCACTTTATAAACAGCACCAAAAAAAAGCTTCCATTAATAATTGACAATTATCTCCCTATTAAAAACTACAGCACTTTAGCAATGCTTTTTAAGTGGTCACACCTACTATGACACATGCAAAGCTATTAAAGATTTGAGCAGACATAATGGACCAAACAATCACTTAAGCATGAATGATGACGTAGCTACAGAACTGTGGGTAAGGTTAGACAATTGAAGGTAATGAGCCAGGCCTATTGCCCATTTCAGTAATATACAGAGCTTGTTGTCAGTAAAGAACATGAAGGGAAAGTAATAATGGTCTTACAGTCACAGCAGGGACCCTTGCAGCTTTCCACCTTGTCTGACAAGATGAATACAGGGTGCGAAAAGACAAGGGAGGAGAGAAGCGAGCTAAGGGGCAATTACAGCAGCCTACTCCAAAGGGACTATGTGTGTGTAGATAAAGAGTGTAGGTAGGAGAAAGAACATGATATGAGCCATTTCCCAGCTAATCCCCTCTCTCCTCCTTCCGTATTGCCATAGAGACAGTTTTCAGTGCAGGAAATGTTCACTCACGTGTCTGTGTGGCATGCTTTCCTCGCACGAGGAATTAGTCAGAGACAGACGGAGCCAAATACACACACCGACACACATGTAGAAGCCATCATCTCCAAATGCCCATCCATACAGACTCCATCACACACATATCTCACTCACTGGTATCGGTCACCTAAGAAGCTGTAAAAGAACTTATAAAGTTGAATGAAAGTTACTAGGGCCTTTTATTTACCCTGTTGCCTATAAGCACATGGACAAATGTGAACAGAGCAAAACCTAAGCCAACCATGAATTGTTGTAAGGAAAAATAAAATTTGTGGATTTACAGACTGATTACTTATTTATAAAACTTAAATCTTGATTTAAGACACGACTAAAGGAAAACACAAACTGAGTACATTAATACTTAACTGAACACTTTGGGAATTACTCATTTAACAGAAAAAAAAGCCCAGCAGCAAATCGAATACATTCTTTACAGAGAGTAGCTCCTTTACAAATGAAAAGGCCGCAAAGTTTTAATTCTAGGTTACTTGATTATTTAAGTTTTATGTTTCTGTAAAATACTACAGACACAGCAATCGACCAGCAAGGGACCGGAAAAGGCCAATTTCCAGCAATCTTGGCTTTGGGTATTTCTGATTTTGAGCCGGCCTGCTTCATGCATGTACAACATGTGTCCTGTGGTGCATATAAATTGTCACGCATATTCACATCCACAAAAAAACATGTCTTTAGCATGGAAGCTCCTCACTTGGAGGGAAGACAAACTTCACCAAAGAAAATCATGGAGGGACCATCATAAAAACTTCCTAACAATAAACCTAATCAGACACTTAAATCACCTTCACCCAGCTGAACATGGACATTTTAAGGAGGCTAATGGAGGCAAAGGGGTTAAAGGTAAAGATATCCAAAGATGGAGATGAGTGAAAAGGGAGAAAAGGGTCGATGTCATGTTATCTGGTGAATGTATAAATATACTGGAAAATGATGTAAGTAACTGTAATCTGATGTGTTATATAAATCTGTTGCAGCTGCTTTTGTTTGGTAAGCTCAAACATGCCAGGTAAAGGTGGGTGTATAGATCAGATTTTCATGTAAGTATTTATACCTCTTTCTAGTAGCAGAGCATTTTCAGTTATTTAAGTAAGAGAAGAAACTGTAGTTTGGGGGGACATTATAAAGTATTTTGGATTGAAGAAAAGTCGATTTTGTATATGCTTTGCTACACAAAGTACACAACAAGAAATATGTCAACAACTAGGACTTCAATATGCCATTCAGACATGTCTTGCATATGGCTCTAGCTTTCCATTACTTTCTTAAGACCAATGGCTCTCAATTTCCATGTCATAAAGTTCCTGAGACTATATTTAAAAATGACTTAACATTCAACATTCAGTAGTCTCAAAACTGTGCATTTGTTCTATAATTTCAGTCATTTGAACCATATAAACAATATTTTACTGACAAAGATTCAGAATACAGTTCTAAGCTATGGTCCTTCACAACAGAAAAAGCAAAAAATACTGTTTCTGAATCACAGTTTTGCAAACATGTTTGGTGGCCAACACTTTCACAAAACAGAAACAAAGTGATCAAGTGATGGACATGAATAAGAAGCTATAAACTGAATTGCCTACAGTTGGATTTTTTTGTATCTGTGCTTCTTTTTTTTAAACTAGCCAGTCAAAATTATGGCCTTACAGTACTTCTCATCACACTTATTTCTGTCCACATAATACACAAGGATAAACATTTGCTGTCCTTACCTTTTATCGTGCTTATAAAACACTTCTGACCAAGGGTACAAAAAGGTCTTCTTACACATAAGGTGGCTGCCAGGAGCTGTGAACCCACAGCAATACCTTTCAAGTACATACTCTCTTTCCTTTGGCATCTCAAGTCTGCAAACAACCACCACCAATGACTGTAGGGTAAGATGATTAGTAGTCTGTATATCCAAGGAGTCACACAGTGTTCACAACAGACAATAACTTTAAGAAGATGCAGTCCCTTTGTTCGCACACAGGATAGATGCATCATATGACCTTGAGTCCTCAACTAACAACTCTTTACGGTATATAGAGCTTCAACACTAATATATATACATATATGTATAGTATTGAGGTGGCACACAAACAAACACAAATACAAATGCTGTTTACCGTGACCGCTGCCTGTGACAGGATTGCAATTTTATGAGCTCCTCGTGTGAGACACTGAACAACTACAACTGCTTTGTAGACCATGTAAATAAACATCAAACAGCTTGTTGACCTCGGGATAATCAGACGAGCAGAACAGATCTGTTCAAAGCCCCATGCTCATTCTAGATAAAAAAGAAAAAAAAAGAAAGAAAGAACAAAAAACTAATTCTGTCTAACAGCCGCCAGATGCTCTGCGCCATATGGAATATGTGTGAGGGTTTTGCAGAATCAAGCACAGGCAAACACCACAACAAGACAATGGGGGTCGTAATAGTCACTCAAGAAGGAGCCTACAACAGATATCAGTCCTAAGATGGTACTCAGATGCTTCATGCTCTGCATCTATTGCAGAGCCCAATCAACAGCAACCTTGCCTTGTATGTTTTAGTTTGCAGTCTGCCAGTTGCAACTAGTTGCAAAGAACCAAATCTGTAACACATCAGTTTGATTATCCCTGACCAACCAGGCAGCCTTAGTGAAGCGACCCATTAATTCAAGGTTTCTGATGATAACCAGGTCACAGAATCACTATGCAGACCATTAATGATGCATCTTACCTGTAAACAGTGTTAAAAAAAAACCTCTTTCACATCACAGCCTTAATACAGTTTTAGATTTTCTGATGGCGGATTTGCTCTGCTGCCCCTCTGACAAAGCAAAGAGTTGAAAATAGAAAATGTCCTATTCACCTCCCACTAAAGTGTTCCTGATATAAACGCTGCAAGGCTTCTAAAAATACTCCTCGAATAAAAAGCAGTGGCTTCATTGTTATTCTCTACTTCTATCACTCTGAAGCACTCAAAACTTCCCAATTGTTGCAGGTACTTTTCCAAAGCCTTATTATAGTGCAAAGATAGAATATGGACTTCAGCTCAGACGCGACTGTGTTAACTGTGAAGGCAGCTTATCAAATGGACACTGAATCCACAATCCTCAAGAAGGATGTGTAAGTGTTTGTGTCATAATCATCTGGAGGGGAAGCCTTCCTCACTAACTTTAATAGGACCTGTGTGTTCGGTGGATAGACAAGGGAAACATGAAAGGGCAGGGATGGTGATTTCTGGTTGTCTATAGGATATGTACAACTTGTAAGCTGCTGCACATGAGCGTGGGTGGTGTGGACCGCTGACGGACCCAGATTACACTGAATGGTTTTGTTCCTAATACTTATGAATGTATGAGCAAACGTTAGTGCAATGAAGCCTTAAATAGGCATCTGAAAGCTGCTTATTCAAAGCAACTGTCATATGTCTTTCAAGGTTTATTAAGGAGTTCTGACACAAATGTGCAGCTTTAAGATTGCTGCCTGCTGTGCTGACTGTGCTGGTTTTGTAAAACCAAATTTATCCTCCTCTTGACTGAATATTTCAAGAGCATTGTAGCAATGTTGTTTGTCGAATAGTTTCATAAAACGAAAGCGACATCACATAAAAGAGATGTTCCTTTGTCCGCAGAAAACGAAAAGGTACAAAATGTTGAGGTTTTTAACAGGGTACTGCTCAAGTGCTCTAAGTGCAGAAATAATTTAGATCTAGCCTCCATGTGTGAGTTTTGATAATCCTTTTCTATGAAAGAATCAGAATGTGCATAAACTCCAGATTTACAGAAGTCTTGAGTTTAAGGCTTAGCACTGTAAAAAGTGCAGAGACCTCAGTGCCTGGATAAGACTTAAAAGCACAAGGTTGTCAGATTGGATAATGGCACTGGGGTGATGTTAAAGACCACAGAAGGGTCTAATTCATAAAATGGTAAAAAAAAAAAAGTTATTCATGAGTTGGATTTAAAAAAAAAAAAGAAATAATGTCAAAATACCCTAATAATGTCTTTTTGTAGAGGAAATACTAACTTCATGAATTTCCCTCCTTTGCAAGAATTGTATGAAAATGTTTCACAGGCAAATAAAAATGCAGTTAAATATTGTTTTAATGTTTCATTAAATTGTAATCATTGAAAGAAATGGTTAAGTAACCACTGCACTGCGTCAACTTCAATTTAATTTTATTTATATGGTGCCAAATCACAACAACAGTTGCCTCAAGGTGTTTTATATTGTAAAGTAAGGACCCTACAATAATACAAAGGAAACAGAAAACCATAATCATCATATGACCACCTATGATCAAGCGCTTTGGTGACAGTGGGAAGGAGAAACTCCCTTTTAACAGGAAGAAATCTCCAGCAGAACCAAGGTCAGATTAATAATAACGAATATGAAATGCAGAATGTATAAACAACATAGTGAAAAAGGTAATTAAAGAAAAAAACACTAAATGCATCATGATAATCTCATAGCAACCTAGACCTATTGCAGCATAACTAAGGGAGGATTCAGGGTCACCTGATCCAACCCCAACTATATGCTTTATCAGAAAGGAACGTTTTAAGCCTAATCTTAAAACTAGAGATAGTGTCTGTCTCCTGAATCCAAACTAGAAGCTGGTTCCACAGAAGATGGGCCTGAAAACTGAAGGCTCTGCATCCCATTCTACTTTTAAATACTCTAGGAACGAGAAGTCTGTCCCATAAAGGGGTGATATGGTACTAAAACATCATTAACACAAGATGAGGCCTGATTATTTAAGACCTTGTATGTAAGGAGCAGAATTTTAAATTTAATTCTGGATTTAACAGGGAGCTATTGAAGAGAAGCATTACAGGAGAAATATGCTATCTCTTTCTAATCCCTGTCAGTACTCTTGCTGCAGCATTTTGGATCAATCGAAAACTTTTCAGGTACAGGTAGAACATCCTGATAATAACGAATTACAGTAGTCCAGCCTAGAAGTAATACTAGTTTCTAGTTTCACTCTCAGACACAATGTTTCTAGTTTTGGAGATATTGCGCAAATGGAAGAAAGCAGTCCTACATATTGATGATGCGCACTGAAGGACATATCCTAGTTAAAAATGACTTCAAGATTCCTCATGGTGTTGCCAGGGTAATGCAACTGCTGCACCACGGAAACAAGGTCAATCACCCCACAGTGAATACAGTTTAAAAGGCGTATCCTTTAACACCGTGTTAAAATGCACTGCCTTTAATTAAGCACTTTTTAGTTAACACATGCGTATAGCTCAACACACCCACAATGTTCAACCCAACCTCCAACTGCATAGCCAACAAAGTAGCATTACACAGCAGTACGAAGTATTCTATTAGCAACCACAGCTGAAAGGTCTGCTGCTGACAAGTTATACCAGTGTTTCTTGAACAAGCGTTTTCAATAAGAGCCAAAGGAAAATGAATAGTAATCAAATATGTTTTCTGTTAACTGTGGTTTCATTAAATTAAGTTAAACATATACATTTGTTACACAGACAGTCAGAAAAAACAAATAAATGAACAGATAACTGATAGAGTAAACACACACAGATTCACTGTCATTAGTGTATGTGACATTACCATTCCCAGTTTACTGACAGGATGGTTAATCAAGAATAAAACCGCAGCCTTGAAAGGTCAAATGACCTGTCATTTCTGACAAAGGAGGGGAGGATCTTGACATTTCAGCTTCTTTTGCGGTGTGTCGGTAAAAGGTTGGAGCATTAATGTTGCTGAAGGATTAATAATGTTACAGAACGTGTCACAAATTCAATGTTTGTTTGGCAGGTGTTTACATCTACAGGTTAACCATAGCTGCTATTGCACATTATTCATATGTTGGACAAGACAAGACAACTGCTCCCATAAACACTACAAACTTCCTCTATCTGTACAAGTTCAATAAATAAACCATAATCTGACTATAAATTTGTTTTTGTTTATTCAAACTTTTAGATCTGAATAATTCAAACACCAATATATATATGCTGGAAAATCTTTCCCCCCCCCATTTATTCATCCATTTTCTTAACATCCACTTATCCAATTCATGGATGGAATCTATTCCAGCCATCAGGAGCAACATCAGGGGCAAAACCAACATTCACGGTCACATTCACACCTACAGCCCCACACAGAAAGAACCCAGCACTTCATTGCAACATGACTAACAATTGCAGCATAGAGATGATGTGACTTGTACCAGTCAGTCACATCAATAATAACCACTGACAGGGGATGCAAATAACATTGATCATCTCATTAAAATGTATTGTTTTAATGTGAAACTGTAGAAAAGGTTTCGATGATGTTGTTGACTGGTATACATTTACACTTTGCACTTGTCATTTCGAGTCATAACTCTGACAGCTAAAGGAAAATCACCTACAGAAGAGAAGGAATTCTACAGATTCCATATTCAGGTTTTACCACGTTATTGATGATCCATCACCTACAGCCACAACCCAAAATCTGAGTTATCACTGAAATGTCTCAATTTCCCAAAAGGTATTGCAGTAAAAAAAAAAAAAAAAAAAAAAAAAAAGACCATCTAACTCGGTCGGTCTAAAAGATGATAAACATTTCAATGATTTTCAACTCACCAACATGCACATTATATGGTAAGTAAGGCGTGAATAATTTCCATGTTAGTGTTTTCAGCCCCCATTTCAACAATATTTAGCTCTTTGTTTTTCTAGGAATTCTGTCATATTTACTCACACAGTTGCATGTTTCAAGCCCACAAATGGACATTGACAACACTGAAGTGGTGAAGCCTGGCGTGCACATTCAGTTGAAAAACAAATACACCAGCATTTACTTTATTGAAAGCTACCTTTCCAACATTTACAGTGGTATGATCAAATGTGGCCAGTTTTCATAAATGGACCAAACATCTTTTCAACAACAACTGTTGAAAAGGTAGCCAAAGAATGACCTTTCTGCATCATCTACCAACTTTGCAACTTATCACAGTAATGGCATTATGTTTACACATGGTGTAGGCAAAATCCAGTGAAAAGTGCTTTATGCATATGCTTTGGTGCTCGCAGTCCAGTTATCACTGCAGACACAATCCATGCCATGCAAGCATGATGCTGCCAGAGACTTACTGGGCATTGGTTGAGTCCATACTGTACTCCTCCTGATACCTGGACGCAGCACACACGGACACAGATAGGTACAGGTTAGGAGAGAGTGGGGTCAAGAAATCAGGAAAGGGAAGGAAAGGATGAAAAGCAAGAAAATGATGCCACTGCAATGTAGTTTCATTACTTGCATCTTAGTTATAATGGAGCCAATTTCAAACTTCAGAGAGAATTTTAAATCAGTTGTGCAGCAAGAAAGGCCAAAGTGGAATGTGACAATATGTTAGTGAAATTCCTAAAGGAATTCTACCTAAGGCATATAAAATAAACAGGTTAACCAAATACTATATTTGAGTGGCTGTTTCTTACTGCAAGACTTTTCCACCAGGTTTCATTAAGTCACCATTAAACTTCACATGCAAGTAAATATAAACATTTACAGTGGATACTGGTTATATCTGAGGTTAACGTGACATAAAAAAGCATTAAGTTAACCATAAGAACAGATGGAACACTTAACGCAAACCACAGGGAGTCAGTGTACACATCCTCAGGGTCAGTCTCAAAGTTGCCATATTGAGATGACCGTTAAAAGAGAGGAAGTATGTAACACTGAGGGAGGTGACAAACAGAGACATACCCAGATAATTTCACTCACTAACAAATGAATAGATCTGAGGCGCAAAGGGTCACAGGTTAAATGTACAATTTGATTTGAAGCAGAAGAAGTAGTCTTATGTCGATTATTTTCTTACATTCTTCTTACTGAGGCTGAAAGTTGTAGTATTTTATAGAATATAGTGTGCATTTTTGTCTGACAACAAATCAAAACGTATGAGTTTTTAAATGGGATTTTTCTTTTATACTGTAATACATGACGTCACAGATTCAAAAATGGAAACAACATGAACAAAGTAATTACACAGGTACAAATTTCATGGAAAAAAAAAATCTTGTCTGGGGTCTTGTCTGAGTCAAAAGGCCATTCATGGGGCAGACTTTTATTACACAGATTTTTCTCATTTTAATACCAGTGATTCTTCTTTTGTACACTGCTTTCATTTGGTATATATTCAGAGTATCACTTTGGGATTAGGACATTACTTTCCTTTGTTTTAAAGTGAGAAAATATACCTTAGCTTTGTGTGAGAGAAAAATAAATGTGATATTCTGTCTTCGTACTTATGAACTTGAGGTAAAAGTAAATATAGAAGAAATCACAGCACAGCCCTTTCCTTTAACTCTTGTAAACGGTATGTATACATACTATATGTATACTATATTCAGTCAGGTAACACCACATGTTCAGCTGCCCCCACTCCACCCTTAAGTATTCACTATGACCTATGAAAATATCCCAATAACCCCCAAAAACTAAAAAAAAAATTGGAATTTACTGTTAATCTAGTAAGTAAGCTGCTTCAGTGTCTGGAGTATATTTAAAAATATTCCATATCAATTTTGGGGAAAAGTGAATGGACAAAGGGTGGGTTGAATTGTCTTTGAAATCTCTACATGAACAAGGTCTTTATATCAGTCAAACCTATAAAAAAAGAGGTGGTGGATGAATATGTGTTGAAAATAAAGACTGCAGAGCTGAGAGGTTTGCGTTGAGAAGATTGTCAAAACTCTAAATGGACTAATGGACTGTCCATTCCACTCAGGAAATAGAGAGGTCACAAGGGAGGACTTTGCCATTTCAGTAATTAATCAAGCACGTTTTACCATCTCAACAATGGCTCTCACTTCCAACATGCCAGTGAAAATGGGTTTCATTCTAATTTCCAAAGATCAGTGTCCATGTACACTCATTTATCTGCAACTTTCTTCTAATGGCTCAATATCCTGAAACTAGGGCTGCACGATTAATCGTTAGAAAATTGCGATCTCAATTCATACTTATGTGCGATCTCATTTCCAAATGACAACGATTAAAAAAAAAAAAAAAAAGATTGTAAGCATTTTGATCCGGGACGTAATCTGCATGAAAACAAGCGCTCACTCTTCCTGCTCAACAAATGACAAGGGCGGAGCCTTATACCACGCGATACAGAAGCTGGCTGCTAAAATTGGCAGGGGAAAAAACCCCGTCAACCACCCAAACATCAATAACGGGAACCTTATACAGCGCTTCCCTATACCCGTCGAACTCCCGCAGGCACAAAGAAATTACGGAGGCTATTACTTATCACCTGACCAAAGATATGGCACATCAACACTGTGCAAAACGAGGGATTTAGGAAAATGATCAACACCCTAGACAAACGCTACACAGTGCCGTCCCGCAACTATTTTTCTATTGTTGCACTACCTGCTCTATACACGCAGTGTCGAGCAACGGTGGAGATGGAATTTCAAGCAGTACAACGTTTTGCGGCAACGACATAATGTGAGACATTTGTTGTTTTTATGTTTATTTATTGTTTTTATGTTCAGTCTCACCTGAAGTTGATGTGCAGTTAATAAGTGCAATAAATATTTATACTGGAAAAGAAAATCGTGAGAGAATCGTGATCTCAATTCTAAGCAAAAAAATCGTGATTCTCATTTTACGCAAAATCGTGCAGCCCTACCTGAAACCAAGCAATTCTTTCTTCAAGTAATCTAGAATGATGTTAAAAACATTTCTACAACCTTAAATGATTAATAACATCACATTTTCCACTTCTGAAAGACAGATTCAATTCAGTAAATTCACTTTGAGAATTTAGCACACACAGAACTTTAAGATTAAAAAAAAATGTGGACTGCTGGACATTTTTGGGAAATTTCTGAACCATACGAAACACACTGAACCAGGTTTGCAATGCAACACTTTACTAATTTTCTAACAGTTTTATTAGTATATTATCATTGCTTATTACTACATTTCAGCAGTTTGAGATGTTAATTCAGAGTTAAACCAATGAGCAAATGATTAGTCGGCTTATATAAGAGATAATGTACATAAAAACAGGACCATCACTGCTCTGCTGTGATCCCGCTAGTGATTTGGTGGATATTTCACAGCACTTTACTGGTCAATAAAGATGCTATCTGGCTACTAAGAGCTTAAACAATTTAGAGGCTAAAATGAATGGAGACTAGCTTACAACAGATACACTGGATGCAGAGTCTAATCTGTCCCGTTTTCAATTATAATTCAGACGTTATTAGATTATGTCATTAACGTCATGCCTTAGTATACTTAAGATCAAATAATTACAGTAAAGAACAACTTGATTCTCACCTCTTTGGAGCAGATCTGGAGCGAAGGTGTGAGCGGAGGTACTGAGTTATGTGCAACATGACCAGCACTTTCAACGTATGTTTTCCAGTAACATTCAGCTGTGAGAGCTACAGAGATAATGTGGGATGGCTTCATGCACTTATACTTTATGACTGCAGAAATTACAAAGGCAAATGGGAAGTGTAGTTTTCAGTCTGGTAGCTTGCCATACTGTTCTCCACACATCCCAGAAGCAACTCAAGAGACTCACACTGCAGCATCTCCATTTCATACAGTAATCCTAGACTGAAGTTTAGATGGTAAAGATACTAAATGGTCAAAATGCCCTTAGTCGCACCTTCCCCAAGTCAACTCCCATTACCTTTACCTAATGTTATTCCCCTGCTCCCTCATCACATTTTCTGTCTGTATTCACAGAAAAAGCTAACAGCAAAAGTATCATTCTGGTATATAATATATACTATTCTTCCACTTTAAATCTTGAAAACTGGAGTAACAAAATGAATGAAGGGAGGTTATATGCTTTGCAACAGTGTCAAATATTACTTAGCATAAGTTACTACTTAGAGCAGGTACAGTAAAGAATTATTACCTATAATATCTCTGCTGATGCAATAATAAACATCACAAAGACAAACCTTATCACATATTACATATATACTGTGGAATTTGTCCCTTTTATATCTTTGGGATTATTGGGTCTAATCGAACAGCAGTTTTGTGGCCGTATTGAGTTTTCTACTTAATCCTACTATAAAAGCTACTTTCGGCTACTCCCCTGCCAGACGGGGTCAGCACAGCAGCTAGCTCTGCATTTTTGATTTAGCCTGGTTGTCCTCCCTGACAAAACACCAATGGTGATTTGTTTGTTCGACTGTAACTGAACCAGCGACCTTCTACTTGCCCAGCATTTTTGCACAAATTTAATAATTTAAAGTCAACTTTGATGCTTTAATACTGAAAAGGTAATATTAAGTGTACAAGGATACAAGTACACAAGTAGTTTGCTAACTTGGCTAAAAAAGCAGAAGCACTCTGGACTGACAGACGTGAGCTTTGTGGAAGGCTCTGCGTTGCTGAAATGTCAAATGGGATAAAGCCTACGCTGCACATCAGTCACTCTGCCTTTTATCAAGTTCTTACGCAGCTGACCTAAAAAATTCAAATCATCCTTTGCAATATCCTGGTCCATTCTTAGTGAGAATATACAGTGCATAATAGTGCCTCAGCAAGGCAGACCAAATGCTCGATTTGCAAACACATTTTTCACTGCGAGGACAAAGTGGTGGAGAAGATGGACGAAGCCAAAATAAATCTGCATGTGTTTATCAGTTCTGACCACATCCCGCGTTTAAAAGATGATCCTTCTCTCTCTGTTACTGAAAATCCTCCAAGACTTAATTAGTCTCTCACTGCCTGCAATATTAAGATGTCAATAGAGAATCGATATAAACAAACATAGAGGTGTTGTAAATTATGCCAAAATAGATGAATTCCCTATAGACCGTGCTATACGATGGACCAGATTATTGATTCTTTTACTCTCTCCGCATCCTTTCATTCCTGAGCCAGCTGGACAGAAATCGCCCGCTGGACAGAAATCCCCGCTGACCACATTTCACAACCCAGAAAGCTCTCAGATTACAGACATCACCCTGCAAGTGACTTGGATAAATTAATACACTTTTTTTTTTATCTCTGCAGATATCAGGTCATGTAATGATTGGATGAAAATGAAGGCCAACTTTTATTAATTTATGTCCTCAATTAAGATATAAGCCCTTGTCAACAAAACTCGCTACCTTGTAAACAAAGGAGATGGACCGCGCTCAGG